AGTAGCCACGGTGTCGGTCAAGAAAGGGGTGGAGCGAGCAGCATTTCCGCTATGCACAACATTTGTATCCGTCCACCCCAATTTCACTGGTCTGCGCTATTCCTCACAGGAGCGGAAAAAGACCCTTTTCTTGTGCACTATCAGATTCATGGAGTGGGATATTGAACGAAGAATGTGAAGCAGCCGTTGGTTTTTTGGTGTACTCGGCCAATGGCCTTCCAGTCCGAGAGTCCGCCCATATGTTTTGCGTGTTCCTAGCCTCTGGAACAATAGCCGCAGACATTAGTGAGGGGCGAGTTGAATATAGTCGTTTTCGATGCAGAGCCTGGGACGTGTCAGGGTGGGGAGGGAGCTGGGTTTGCAAATTTCCACCAATTGTTGCCGCTCGCCGGTCCCAGCAATAGGTGGAGAACAGGCTGGCCTCACGCCGAACCCAGCCCCCCCCCCCTGACACAACCCAGCATCTGCAGTGAACACGACTATGGTAAATGGTGCAATAGTTCGTATAAATAGTAAAGTCTTGATGTTTACTGAAAAACTGGATGGATTGGCTCACGAAAATACACCGCATTTTAGTACGTGGATGGGCGAAGAAGACTGCAAATGAGAACGAGTTCTGCCATGAGGAGGAAGAGGACGAACAATCCATCAGCGACGGCGAGGTAGAATATTGGTCTCTAGTATTTTTTTTCCACTAAATGTAGTGATTGTTGTAAATTTGTAGTATATGATGTGGGTGAGCAGGAAGGATGATTTTTGTGTATTTCAGCCAGCTGGACGTCTTCGTTCGAAATCACTCAGCGACGATACAGCTGAGGACGAAGTGGCTGACACTGATGTTGTCGGCGTGCCACCGGCTCATGTCGACAAGCAGAAATAGGCCGTGGCCTACGAGCCCAAAATGGTCATGCACAGTACTTACACTTTACTGCCCTCATGCTTAATCGCTGCAACGGTCATGGCCTAGCTTCTCTATCCTCGCGCGGTTCCATTATTATACAATCCATATCGCTGCGCCCAGACAGGGCGTGTCCACAGACATAGTTTGTGGGTGTGGCGATCGTGGAATGTTGACGATTCAGGCATGGTCGTAGACGGGACAAGGAAATGTTGCTGCACTGGTGACCTTCCTCGGTGTCAATTAGCAACTGTTCAGAGCCGACGATTCACCCCAGCTATATTCATTATCGCTGTAAGCGACTGGGCCTGTGAATTAGCGGGGATTGGAGCGCAGCCATTTCAGCCTTTTCAACCAATTATTAGTCAGGGGCTCAGTACAGCAACATCCGGTGAGAAAGTTCGCCCTGATTGCGCAATCCAAGCCCTCGCACACGGACTTTTTTCAAGGAATAATGACTGTGAGACATGGACACGTCCTACACTCTAAGGACCTCGTATTTAAGCGAAACGGCGCCACTTTCTTCCTTTAGTTGGAAAAAACCGTTTAATCTACAACAATGAGGAGATTTTCTATATCATTCTGAGAAAATTTTCACAGAAAACAGTGTGCGTTATTTTCAGATACGCAGATCTCTATGCTTCATCATGCTATAACCTGGTGCACTATCCGTCTTTCTATTTTTTCCGTGCTGCAATGCAATTAATGCCACATGAGAGTACTGTGGATCATGCCTCGGTACTGAACAGCTCTAAAAAGGATCTATTCAAACGACAGCAAAGTGTTGGGCAGCAAGGTTTGATTTTGCAATCATCTCTTTCGGAGTTCAACTTTAATTATCGAAAAAGTCGCGTGCATAATCAAAGACGGCGAAGTGTTGAGCACCATGGGTGCGCTCCTATGCTCGGCGTGGGTTTCCATCGCATATTTAATGCAAAAATTTGGCGCTGTGAACCTTCGGAAGGCCACTTTCCATTGGTTTTAAGCCACGTCATGTGCGGTCGTCTGCAGCCTCTTACCGAGACAACGTGTACTATTATAACTAAGGCGCGCCAATAATGCACACATGTACACTCAATCTACCATGTGATCAGCGTGGAAAGTAACATTTACGGAGCTGTCTCCTGTTTGGATTGGCTGTCAATTGACTTATCGGCCGTTATTTGACAGCTTTCGTGGGTGACGGTCATACCTGCGTGCGGTCGCGAAGTCGTCACTCTGAGGGTTAGCAGAAAAGTTTGTTTGTTGGCAGTACTTCATTGTGCAGCTTGGTTACTTCAGCCTTGGAGCAGTGGACGTACTGTGGGATGTGGGCAACGGAGGAACGGTTAGAACACCACCACAGGTGGAGTAGCCACGGTGTCGGTCAAGAAAGGGGTGGAGCGAGCAGCATTTCCGCTATGCACAACATTTGTATCCGTCCACCCCAATTTCACTGGTCTGCGCTATTCCTCACAGGAGCGGAAAAAGACCCTTTTCTTGTGCACTATCAGATTCATGGAGTGGGATATTGAACGAAGAATGTGAAGCAGCCGTTGGTTTTTTGGTGTACTCGGCCAATGGCCTTCCAGTCCGAGAGTCCGCCCATATGTTTTGCGTGTTCCTAGCCTCTGGAACAATAGCCGCAGACATTAGTGAGGGGCGAGTTGAATATAGTCGTTTTCGATGCAGAGCCTGGGACGTGTCAGGGTGGGGAGGGAGCTGGGTTTACAAATTTCCACCAATTGTTGGACCGGCTCGCGCGGTCCCAGCAATTAGGTTGGCAGACAGGCTGGCCACCCTCCACGGCCGTTCCAGCCCCGACCCGCCCGCCTCCCCCTACCCCCCCCCCCTTCCCCCTTCCCCCTCCCCCTGACACAACCCAGCATCTGCAGTGAACACGACTATGGTAAATGGTGCAATAGTTCGTACAAATAGTAAAGTCTTGATGTTTACTGAAAAACTGGATGGATTGGCTCACGAAAATACACCGCATTTTAGTACGTGGATGGGCGAAGAAGACTGCAAATGAGAACGAGTTCTGCCATGAGGAGGAAGAGGACGAACAATCCATCAGCGACGGCGAGGTAGAATATTGGTCTCTAGTATTTTTTTTTCCTCTAAAAGAAGCGATTGTTGTAAATTTGTTGTATATGATGTGGGTGAGCAGGAAGGATGATTTTTGTGTATTTCAGCCAGCTGGACGTCTTCGTTCGAAATCACTCAGCGACGATACAGCTGAGGACGAAGTGGCTGACACTGATGTTGTCGGCGTGCCACCGGCTCATGTCGACAAGCAGAAATAGGCGTGGCCTAGCCCAAAATGGTCATGAATGGTCATGCACAGTACTTACACTTTACTGCCCTCATGCTTAATCGCTGCATGGTCAACGTTTCGGAAATCGGAACTAGAACAACCCTCGCATGAATATTGGCAGCTACCCCGCTTTGCTTTAAATTCGGTCACATTTGAAACCCAGAAACGGAAACTCACCTGGCTAACATCGGTATGTTGCTTGATCCAAATGTCTGAAGCCTAAAGTTAAGTCACGGGGCGCGATTGCTGGAGGCGCCAACCTCATTGGTGTAAGGGCTGAATAGGGTGTGGCCAAAGACCCTCCCGCAGCCCTTCCACCAGTGGTACTGGCAGCAACCGCCAACCTCCAGCAATCGTAATCGCTGCCCTACGGTAATTCTTCTTGGCGGCAGTAACCTTTGAAACTTGACCGTTCCAAAGGTTGTACTTGTGTCCTGATCTACGCATATTTATCGCTGTCCTCAGAATACTGATTTATTTTGGTATCATGATTTAGTTCGAATGACTTCATGTCCTCCCTAGGGTTAGTCCTGCTCCGTCACGGGCTCCTCTCTGCCGTGACTACCCCCATACCAATATAGAAGATCAGTTTAAACTCCGGGACCCAAAGTCGTCCTTATCGCACCGTTCCCGTTCAAATTCCGTTTAAATAAAGCGTCACTGCTATCTGACGGGAGTCTCTTTCTCGTGTAGTCTCTGCCTTAGCTCATCGCAGACGACCGTCGAGGGCAGGACCTAGTCTCGCCGTGTGCCCGTTTCCCACCTCCATTAGCACCTTTTTTAGATAAAAAAAGTAAAGTCAAGTTCTGGTGTCGATTTCCGCAGAGCTGCACTCCCTTTTCCGGAGATTGAGAGGACGTGACTGCGTACTCCATTCGAACATGGCGTAGAACACGTTCTTAGTGATATATTTCCATATGAGACAACTGTCATCCTGTTTTATGCATGTCGAATACATGATTACGACCGTCTTGAAGCGGCAGAATTCCACGAAAAGTGCAGCCGTCGGCAAATTAAGCAGCAGTCACGCCCTCTCTGTTGCCAGGATATCAACTGTAGTTTTAATAACGTTTGTGAGCAAATTGCGGCGCGTTGTGAAAAGTGTCCATTTGCGTGATCAAACGTGAAGGCAAGCACGGCTGCTATGCACGAATCATTTAACTTCCGCGATTCTTACCGGTCCATATGTTCTCACTTCTTGACTAATGCGGTTTTTGTCTGTTATGTTACACAAAGTGATTCTAAATCTCGTCATTATGCATTTCATTTCACTTAGTAGGACTTTATAGTGATACTGTAAGAACTAGTTTTGATTTTCCTCTTGGCCCATACCCATTTCATGAGATTTGCTGCGTCTCATGGAGAATTTCCTTTTCATTTCTGCACTCGTGTAAGCTTTATATGCCTCATTGACGCAGTAAGGTTTGTTAGACCGCTAGAAGCAGCGATGCCTTCATTGAATACGAAGCGACATTTATTATTGCGTTTGCTATCATTCCTTTTCTATTTTACAACTGTTATCATTTCATCTGAATAAATAGTTGCATTGAGAGTGGTTATTTTTTTCAAAACTGTTCCTATTTTTTAGGTAAATGGAGCAGCTTCAACGCCCGAGATGGTTGGCAAAAAAAAACTGGGCGGGCCTATCATGCCTTGAAGCTGCCATGTTCGTTTCCTGAACCTGCCTTCGCCAGGCGGGCGATTCAACTCATATGTTTCTGTGTGCCAATCAAAGTTGATGGATAGGAAGTGATGATGAAAAGCAACAAACTAATGCATTCGTCTCCGAAGTGCTCTGGAAACCAGCGGTGTTGACTTAGTTCCGCCCATTTCTGCGCACGCTCCGCCCACTGCGAATGTGTTTCCACTATGTCGTCTATCGACCCCCGCTGACGTCGTCCACTCTTTCAATGATGCTAGGCCGCTCTGGAACCGAATTGCGGTTTTGCCTGCGACACCGTCCACATCCGGCGCACGCCCGTCTCCTGCTATGGGGCGTGGTTTGGCATGGGTAAGTCGTGCTCCGTATTTCTTGTTCAGTGCCCTATCGGTCCCAGCGCGACCTCTGCAAGATGCTTTTCAGGTAAATTTGAAATTTCGGACAGAAACACATAAAAAAGCAAGCAAAGAAACAGGCAAAGCAAACCGCCCCATTTTCTCGGGTATAAGGCGAAGGCGCAAAAAGTTGATAATCGCAACAGCAGTTCGCTAGTCTTTTTTTGCATAGTTTGTTTTCCAAAAATAAGTTTTCAAACACCTTTTGTTGAATATAGATCATTGATAGAGCAAACAAAAATTGCGCAGAACTAGAGTGCGACAGGAATATTCGCGGCGTTGAGGCGAAGGTGCGCCCTATACATGGTTGGGCCTTGTACTCCAGAAAGTGGGTTGTATAGCAAGGATACTACATGTTTGCCGAAGGCACTAATCACCGGGCCATCGCAAAGTAGGAAATGAAGGGCAAGCTGCAATTGCTGTTTATCTCGTGGCTGCAGACCAATTCAACTCACACATGGCAAGGACCAGGATCCACGGAGATGATTGCATAGTTTATCAATGAATACGCATTGATTTAAAGAATTTCCGACTTTAAGGGATTTTGCTCATATTTTGATTAGCGCGATAATAGTTTCGTGATAGAATCTCTGATTTTTCAAATTATCTGATCATACTTGTCTATTCCTTTCCGAGATTTCCGGTCCCTTCACACTACCCCGCTTCTCCACTTCCCATGTTGTGCGCAGAGTGGGAACAGTGTCGTGTACTCTACTATGACGATTAATTACTAACATTCATGAGCAAAGAGCAGGACCAGCTCTGACGTATTTTACATTCTGTGACACAGTTGTTTAGAATATAAGTTTGGTATTTTCGCTCTTTGGTGTTTTGCTGTCTGTAGAACGGTCGCACGCTTCGTGAAAATAACTATAAAATTGAAATTTTGGGTGGCACACGTGATAGGTCATGGTGGGTTCGACTCAGTGTTTTGTTGTGGCTATTTTGAGACACATAAAACCATTAAGATCAGTCGTCACAAAGATTTCAAGTATGGTTATTTCGAAAGTCCATTCTCAAGTTTTTACAACCAGGTATGTATGTGAGATTTCAGGAATCGTAAGAACATGTGGAGGAAATGGGTGGGCAAGGACTTGAACGGGCTTGGGACCAATCCAAAATGGTGATCACTTTCTCATTCGTAGGGCCAAATGGGGGACTACGATCATGTAATAGAACTAATGAAATCTTTGCACACCACCTCGCACAAGCACAGTGCACGTTGAAAAAAAAGGAGGTGATGGCGATCATATATGAAAAAAAAGTGTTTTACGCATTGCGTCCATGAACAAAAACGTCAGCTTATGCAAAAACTTGGGAGATGCTTTCAAAAGAATTGAAAAAAGTAATATTTGAGCATAAGTAGAGTCCCCTTTCATCGGTGGCCCACTGCTACCGTTCGAGCATCTTCTTTTGGGTAGAACGAGCAGTTTCTTTTTTCTACAGAGGCAGAATGATGATGAAGATATGGTGCCGTTGAAATCATTCTCGACATGGTGCCGTTGGAGTCAGTTTCGACCGTTTACAAGCATGACTCGGCATTTACCTCTGAACACTGCCTACAGACGACCAAAGCAGTTGAATTCAGGTTGGGCGAATAAGGCCGACCACATCCAAGTAAAACATTTTGAATTGAAGTACTGCCGAATTATACGATTAGTTTGAACCGCGCATCTGACACGCAAGCATGCCATGGTTGTAGTTGTTTAGTGCCATCCATTTGTCGATCCGGAATTCGAGCAAAAGGCAACAACAGTATTCTAGCAATGATCGTGCGCGTTGTTCTTCGAAGCCAGGCCGCCAAAAGAGGTCACATCCAGGAATCCATGCTCCAGGATTTTCATACGCGCTTGATCTGCATAACTCCTGGCCCGGCTTCTCACGCCTTGCATGTTAATCGAAGCGAGTCGAGCCGCTGTGCCTCTTTGGGCTGAATTTGCAAGACCACCCTCATTTCGTTCAACCATGCCAGGATCGCATTGTTGGCAGGTCGACATGAGCGTCATTGGGATGAGAGATTAGCGATTTGAATAGGGAGGAACAATTTCTGACACTTTCAAAAGTTTGGTGTTCTGTAAGATAATGAGTCACTCCATAACCTCCACACAAGATTATTTATCAGTAACGCTCTTCCTATGTCGGATGGAGGTTGACACCACTTCAATGCCGCAATTCTGCGGCAGCATTCAGGAAGCTCAAACGATACAGTATTGTTTGGCTGGGCAGATAAAGGGACATGTCACGTAGGCTGAGTTTGAGCGCGAAGTCGTCCGCCCACTTTCCACGAATAGTGGCCGTTTGCGGGTTCACACGTTGTGGTTGAATGATCCGACGCTGTGTCGAATGCGACGTGTCATGCGCGTGACTGGGCCGCGCCATCGCCAGCGCAAATATCTACCTCATTTGCACTGAAACCAGGCTTTAATTTCTTTGGTGGCATGCCAGCATTCAGGCCGGTACAACGCTACTGATTGAACGGCGGCCCTATAGAGCGGGATAGTGCAAATGCGGCCGAAGAGGGCAATTTCAGAGAAATTGCCCATTTTTTGCTAAGGAGATTTATCGTTATCACTATCGCGTTTCTGGTCTCTGATGCATTAGAGTGTGAGTCGCGGACGTAGAAGTGTGTACTTTGCCCGATCAGGGGCCCAAATACTCGTTTGGTTCTTCGACCTATGCCGCACCAGTGCACCTCATGCTCAGACCAGAACATGGCTGAGGTCGTGGCATGTTAAGAACGAACGAAGGATTAGGTTGCAGAGTATTAGTGTTAAACTATATAGGGTTATTATAAGAAGAATGAGGAAACGCTGTAGAAAGACCTGTGCTCGTTGGCTGAAATGAAATATTCTAACTGAAACCCTGGAAGGAGAGCAATACACTAGATCAGCTACTTGGAAAAGCAAGTTCCAAGCCTTAATTTCAAAACAAAGG